TATTATTATTATTATTATTATTATTATACGGAAAGGTAAGGTTTTTTAACAGCGCCCTCTAGAGAGCAAAATCTAATGAACGTGACAACCACCCCTGTTCTCCCCTAACTGGAAGCTTTTCAATTTGGTGAGTGTTAAAAGATTTTGAGATGAACACCACTGTAAAGAAGAGCTTGTTTACTCTTGACACTATATGAACTTTGACCCTCAGTACTGACCTCCAGATGGAGCTGCGACCCTGCAGGATGACACCAGTGAAGTGAGTCAGTCGCCGAGCGTCAACCTCCAGCCACTGCTTCGTGTCTCTGTACTGAGCACACCAGCCTCCATCGTAGATGTCACCGTCCTCTATCCCAGACTGAAACACACACAGGAAACACTCTGTCATACTGTTGCTCTGTAGCATGTGATGGATAAAGTCTTTGATTAGCTGTCAGTCTGTGTGGTTACCTGGATGTTGAGTCTTCCGCGGTGAGGGCCCAGGCCTCTGCGCTTGTAGGACGACGCTCTCAGCTGGGTGTCTTTGACCCTGAGTGACTCCAGACCCAGTGGAGGACATTCTGACTCAGCCAACAGGGATGTATTAACCATTTGAATATTATGACACCATGACAGCAGAGGGCAGAGCAGCAAAGTGAGAAGTAGATGCTGCTCCAGAGGTAAAATTCTAGTTTAATTTTTGCACAGAAATTGTTAAAGGACTGACTGTTTGTGTCATCAATACAACCAAAGAGACAGCAGATTAATGTCTTTATGTCTTTTTAAGTAAACGTTCAAATTCCAGTTTGTGCTGGGAATAAACTGGAACCAGATCTCAACCCACTTTGCTCCTTGGTAACACAGTGTATGCAGGTTTGCAAACCATACTGCAGTCATGCAAACACAAACACTCACATGTTCACATATGATGCTGAACATATGTACAAACACTTGACCTTGTGAGAGCTGGGAGGTCACAAGGTCAACTCTCTAAAGCATGTGAGAACAAACTAAATCACCTGAAGCAGTGTGTGGGATTTAGTGGCATCTAGTGGTGAGGTTGCAGATTGCAGCCAATTAAATACTCCGTTCTCGTGCTGCAGAACCTGGAGTGACCTTGAGGCAAGATAAAATCACAAGAGGCCCTCTCTTGAGCCAGTGTTTGGTTTGTCTACTCTGGGCTACTGTAGAAACATGGCAGATTCTGTGAAAGAGGACCAAGTCCCCAGGAATGCCACTCAGCCTTGCTTCCAGTTTTTCTCAGTGGCCACTCACAGTATTGCGGCGAAAAAACCCACTGCTGCCCAAAAAGCATTTTCCCCATAGATCACCACTGCAAAGAGACGTCTGTGAAACTGACAGGACACCTTGAACTGCAAACAAAGTCAAGTATGACTATCACTATTATGAATGTGTGATCAACACAGGTTTTATTTTTGTAAAACTTTCCCTGAGCAAAGGAAAGTGATTTAAAAAATCTGTGACATCATATGTAAAGTCTAAGGGCTGAGCCAGCACATTCTCATTCCCAGTTCATCAAATGCAGATGCTTTGTTCTGGCCCTCGGCATCTGATACAGACCCCAAAGGTCCCCTTTAGTGTCTTTATGGGATGCACCGGGCATTAAACTAACTCCATTGTAAAACCAAAAGTCAATTTTATGACCACTTAGGTATGGGCACATAAATACGCCAAGGGGTTTCTATCAGGCGTGACAAAGCATCAGCATTTGACAACCTGGGAATGAACACAGGTTGGCCAAGCAAGGAGTCACAGGTGGACCCAACAAAAGGAACACTACTGCACCTCTTCAGTGGGCTGCATACCCTGGAGGTAAACCCAGAAGCTAGAAACATTTTTGGCGCATGTGCCAGACGAGCAATTCTCATTGGAATAAATAGGTGCCAACTTGGTAGCCTGGAAATCCAGACCCAAATCTAGAAAGATTTAGGCTCTGGCTATGAGTAATGCAAATGGCCCAACTTGAGGGGCGGCACCAAGCATGCATTTGAAAATATCACTGCACGCAATTGGATAACACTACGACCAATCAGAACAATACACGGGGTGACGTATCCAGAGCGCCACCAGCAGAGCTAACTGGTAGATTAGACTCTTGCCGTATCCGGTTGGCAAAACAGCAAAAACGTCCTTCTTGCAAAGGAAAGATTCGAGCGCCGTCTTCTGTTCCTCTTTTAGAGAAAAAGCCAAGTCTAACTCGTTCATTGTAGCGGCCAGAGCCGTTTCAAACAACTGGTGTTCATCCGTAGCCATCTTGCAATGTTTACTGACGGACTTCATCGTCGCTGCGCTGTCGTCATCGGTTTAGCTCGCCTCTGGCCCGCCTATATCAGATACACTGATGTGATTGGTGCAGCTTTGCTCCAATTGCATGGGTAATGAGCTTCATTACTGATTGCCAGAGTGACTCGCTGAGCAAATTCAAATTGTGCTCTCGCGAGAACTCTGGATTTCCAGGGTGCCAACTCGGGGTCTGGTGTCCAGATCTAAGAATATCCATGAAGGGGATTTGTTCTCTAAGTAGGGGCTTTCTTAGCTAATAAAAAACACAACAATTCTTAGTTTCAGCTGACTATACACTAATTAAAACATAGTCAGGAATATTGTATCATCATTTCTGCCAATGGATACACACTGCTGCTTTACAACAGAGGGAAGTTTGTCTTCAGATATTGCAATGTTGTATAATGTGCATGAATTATATAACACTTAAGTAGCAGATTTTGTAAATGGGACAATAACAGGTGACGTATTACAGAAAAAACAAAACAAATGCAGATGCTTTCTTACATTTTGAGGTATTGCAACTTTTACCTAAGTAAGACTTCTTCCAGCTCTGATGGATTTACCAGTTAAGCAAAAGACTCTAATTGGAAGAGACGTTAAAAAGCAAAGCAGGAAACAGGGGAAGCACAACTCTCTTGTAGAGGGTGAAATGTCTTTAAACCTGTCCAGCGTCCTCCGCTGGTGTATTAAAGCCTCAGACAGACTCTCATTGTCTGAAGGGTTCAGCTCGGTTCAAGCTGCCTCTTCCTGCCAGGATGCTTTACTGGCTGTTAAAAAGTCTCAGGCGAATGTATAGAAGCAGTATAAACAAATGCTAAATGTAGGTGGCATTTCCTGTAAAGACCCTGTCCCCCTTTGGCCCTGTAGTCCATTTGGATCTCTGATGAGCTGAGTGTGACTCAAAATGTTGCTGAGCTCTTAAAAAGTGACGTCTCTTTGTTACTGTTGATCGGTGGATTCCTGTCAAACCACAGATGTTTGGAGTTGAGCCAGAGAGACTCTGGAAATAATACCCAGAAGACACACCGTAAAGTCTCCAAGGAGAGAAAATAAATTAACATTGTTGGTTTGGGGGCAAAATTGCAAACAAAAAAGAGCGTAAGAGTAAGAGCGTCATTCAGTTTGTTTACCCAAAACTGAGAGCCTTGCCTTTTTCTTTAAATTAAGTGTTTATATAAGGAACAAAGACCATGATTGTCTCTCCTTGTCTATCTCAGTTTCACATCTGCTACCCCCCAAAACCCTTTGTAGAGCGACTATCCAAAAAGCAAAAATATAGTCGCCAAGAGGCTAAGTAGGGGAAAAAACTTGCCGGACGCGCTGGCATGTCAATAAATCTTCCATCCAAAGATGTTGCGTTTTACATATTTATTGCTGATAAAAACAAACAGTGAAACAACTTCCCAAAGTCTAAAAACAATTCCTTTTGCTAGTGTTGAGCGATCAAAAGCATCAAAGCAGGCAGCAAAAGTGAGACTTCCCCCCTCACCCTCTCAGTTCATTCATAAGAACCGCCCGGTGAAGAACAGCTGATTTTACTACTACCGCTGCTGACGTACCACCAACACCATGTGACACATCCTTGTAAGTGACCAAATATGGCATGCAAAGAAACTTAATACAAAATACTACAATAACAATAGCTGGCACCTACACCCTTTTTTCATTTCCTTTTGACTCACTCTTTAGAAGGGACCACAAGGAGAAGATGAAGCTCCAAGACGCCTCATCAAAGACAAGTTCCCCACCCTGAGCCTCATCTCAATGGGTTCTTCATCAGGATCTTCCAGCTTCATGATCCCTATTCATGATTAACTGTGCAAAATGCAAGTAAGTCAAGACCAGACCTGAGGGGCCTGTTTGGACGGTGCAAATTGAGAAGCTCAGTTATGTACTCTGGTGCCAGATCACTGAGAGCCTTGTCGGTAATTAAAACTACTTTAAAATGGATTCTAAAAGAGACTCAGAGCCAATGCAAGGAGGCCAAAATAGGTGTGATGTGTGAGGATCGTTTTGCTTTGGTCAAAAGTTGTTGCTGACTAAGTCATGTCCTTTTAAATGTATCATACTGCTGTAGCACCAGCTGAAGGCAAATTGTCAACAAATCTGCAGGATCGGCTGGAGCTGATATGAGTATGCAGCACCTAAATTTGGTTACAACTGTCCAAAGAATTACAGCAGAATATCGCACCATATTACACAACATCGGCCAAATTTGGTTTCGGTTGGAGAGATTTTTTAAAAGTAAACTGACCATTTTTTAAAAAACTTTTACTTACTTTTCCAACATGGCAACTTTTCTGGCATATCCCTCACAGTTTATCTAACTATGGTACTAGCTGACGGGCCTGAAGGGATTTTAATGGGCATCAGCTCGGATTCGATGTGACGTGAGAAGTTGCTTACTAAGCATTTATTCCTACAGTAATCTCCACTTCGGTCTTTCCGTGTGTATACACACATTATATGTACTGACACGCCACATACACACACTTCCTGAATCAGCTCATTTTTCAGTCCAGTGAACACACAAAACTATGCATGCATATACTTATATACGAGACTTACAAAAAGCACATACACAAAACAGCTGGTAGAACAATCATGGCTCTCTGGAGGCTAAAGCAGACCAGACCAGTGCACCAAACCTCCACACCATAATGTTAATCGTGTATTATAAGGTCAGAACTTGGTTTTAGGGTTATGGTTATAATAAATGTCCTTATAAACATTGTACTTTGAGAGATGAGGTTATAGAGAGAGTGAGACTGGCCGGAGAGAAGAAAAACAGAGAGGCAGCAACAGTTAGAAAATAAGTGACAGGAAGACCACAGGAGACATTGGTAATTATTTCGTGAGACAACAAAACATTAAACATGTAAAATAATAAATGAAATCTGTATTTTAGAGCTTAGTTTGAAAACAGATGAAATAATCTTGCTACTGTTGGAACCTGACGGACGTTGCACACCCAGGTCATGTGAGATTATTATGTCACACATGCGTCACTTAGCTGTCAGTTTACAGACGACAATGTACAGGAAGACACCAGTTTGTCTGTGAACTGAGAGGAATGCAACATTTTCAGGGGGAACAAAGACAATGCCTCGAACACATCCCACTCGCCCAAAAGTATTTAAACACATCTGATGCATCCTTTTTCTCTTCACATCCCACCCACCAAATCCCCTCTCGTCTCTTACATCTTTTTTTCTGCTCTTTTCTGCCTACAGGAACCAGTGGGGTCTCGATCCAAAACCAAGTCCACGAAGAGACAGCTCCCACACTCAGGGCGCATTCACACCAGGATAGTCCGGGGGACTCGCTTCGATTGGGCGGGGAATGCCGAAAAATTTCACACCTTCATTTGGTTCGGTTCACCTTCACACTGTACTTTTTAAAGCAGACCAAACCACCTGGACAACGTCACGCAGTTACAACAGCTGCTTGTTTGGGGGCGGTATTGCCCGAAACGAGCACTGACCAGGAAGAAAAAAAGCACGAGGAATGAAGAAAACCTGGCTCATCGATTGGCCAGGACTGAAAATGGAAATCCATTGTGGGTAGCCACAAGCAACTGCGATATATAGTCCTCTGACCATGTATCAATAAGCGCCTGCACCTTCTCACTACTCCACGTCTGCTCACGAGACATTTTCCAACTTTTTCTTTTTTTTTTTTTTTTTTACCTCTGCTTCTCGCGGTTCATGCTGTTGGCTTTGGTTTTTTTTTCTACCCAAAATGCACTGCGCCCTACATCACTTCCTATCTTTGGTTCACTTCCTCTCTTTGGTTCACTGGATAGTCCCTTTGCATTTCCAACTGTAAGCGAACCGCACCAGGGTTCACTTGCAAATGAACCGAGACCCAGAGTTTTCAAGCAGGCCAGGGTTCGCTCGTTTTGGAGTTTGAATGAGCGTTCACACCACTCCAAATGAACTGAACTATCCGTCGAACCGGACCAGGTTTCGTTTAAAGCGGACCAAATAACACCAGTGTGACTGCATCCTCACTCCCGGGATCCCTCCTGCATTCCTGCCTTCGACCAACACATCCATCATCACACTCAAGATGATGGATGATTGAGATCTTCCATCCCTTCATCCCTCATCCCTTCTTTCCTCACTCTTCATCCCTTGATCCTCATCCTGCCATCCCTAACCGTTCATCCATTCGTCCCTCGACCCGTCATCCCTCGACCCTTATCCCTTCTTCCGTCATCCCCAACCCTTTCCCTTATTCCTCTACCCTCATCCCTTCATCGTACATCCTATCATCCCTCAATCCTTATCCTTTCATTCTCTCAGCCCTCAATCCATCATCTGCAATAAACCATCCAAAATCTTTATCTCATCAGTGTGATCTTTGTTAGTGAAAGATATCCCTCTTTCACGGATCACTGAAAACTGATACTTCTCCTGGTGTTATTTTGACACCAGTATTTTCACAGTGTTCAGTGTTGGTGCAGAGAGAGGTGAAGCTGTCTTCTCATTAACGCTGTATCAGAGATTTGTTGTTATGAGTCAGTGCTTTGCTTTGAGACAGTAGTGAAGCAGCAGATTTAATTAGTACACAGGTTCAGATATAGGCTACAGTATGCTCTGCCTCAGTAGGGGAATCACATGAATCAGATCTGGGTCTGAACTTAGTGTTAAATTAGCAAATATTTCTAGGGTTTGTTTGATTCTTTCTTGGGTGGGTTTACCTCAGCCAACAATTCAGTGTGTCCCGGTGAGCTTCAAATTCCCCTTAAGACTTTGTAAGCTGGTGTGGAGTGTTGATGGGTCAAAAAATCACCTGAGACCACTTGAATTGTCCTGACACAGCAAACCCTCCATGTGAAAGCATCTCAAACTATTTGCTACCAACATGTGACCCTTGTCTGATTGACATACTGTATACACATCAGGGCTAGTCCCTATACATACGTGGGACTGTCTCCGTGGCCACTGACGGGCTCACACTGGGTTTGACCTTAGGTTTGGCTTTCTTAACAACCTTCGGCTTCTTGCTGATGAGTTCGGGTTTCTTCAGGATTGTTTTGTATTTCGTTGCTACCTTAACGCTCCTGGTGGACCTCCTTGCTACAAAAATGCAAACCATTTAACGCATAGTAGAAAACAAATATCTTGTAGAACATGTCTTCAGACTTTGTGAATAAGTCATGTGAACAGAACAACAGGAAGAACCATTTTGCAAAAAACTTGCAAAAATCTTATTAAGGAATACTTCAACCCCTAAAACAGCCATTTGTATTTTAGCAAAATGTTTCACTCCTCCTTTAACATTGTTGGAAAGTTCTTCACTCACCACTAAAAGAGGAGTTGCAGCGAGCAGCACAAACCAGCTTTAAAACCTGAGACTGCATTAATGTATTAATGAGTGCATTAATGTAAATGCTGCTGAGCTGATGTTTTTGGCTGTGGATGTTCACATAGATAAATTCATAGTAACATGATTATTGCTTGCTGCCCTACACTTTAGTTACATGTTTGTAGTTGGCCAGACTAAGGTTTATAACTATCATTTATGGAGTACCTCATCTCTACTTACCGACCACTTCATTAGGTACACCTTGCTAGTACCAGGTTGGACCCCCTTTGCCTTCAGAACTGCCTTAATTCTTGGTGTCATGGATTCAACAAGGTGCTGGAAACATTCCTCGGAGATTTTGGTCCATATTGACATGATGACATCACACAGTGGCTGCACATCCATGATGAGAATCTCCCGTTCCACCACATCTCAAAGGTGCTCTATTGGACTGAGATCTGGTGACTGTGGAGGCCATTGGAGTACAGTGAACTCATTGTCATGTTTGAGATGATGTGAGCTTTGTGACATGGTGCGTTATCCTGCTGGAAGTAGCCATCAGAAGATGGGTACACTGTGGTCATAAAGGGATGGACACGGTCAGCAACAATACTCAGGTAGGCTGTGGTGTTTAAACCATGCTCAGTTGGTACTAAGAAAATCTCCCCCACACCATTACACCACCAGCAGCAGCCTGAACCATTGATACAAGGCACGATGGATCCATGCTTTCATGTTGTTTACACCAAATTCTGACCCTACCATCTGAATGTGGCAGCAGAAATCCAGACTCATCAGACCAGGCAACGTTTTTCCAATCTTCTATTGTCCAGTTTTGGTGAGCCTGTGTGAAGTGTAGCCTCAGTTTCCTGTTGTTAGCTGACAGGAGTGGCACCTGGTGTGGTCTTCTGCTGCTGTAGCCCATCTGCTTCAAGGTTGGACATGTTGTTGCTTCAGAGATGGTCTTCTGCAGACCTTGGTTGGAACCAGTGCTTATTTGACTTCCTGTTGCCTTTCTATCATCTTGAACCAGTCTGGCCATTCTCCTCTGACCTCTGGCATCAACAAGGCATTTTGGCTCACTGGATATTTTCTCTTTTTGGGTCCATCCTCTGTAAACCCTACAGATGGTTGTGTGTGAAAATCCCAGTAAATACTCAGACCAGCCCGTCTGGCACCAACAACCATGCCACGTTCAAAGTCACTTAAATCACCTTTCTTCCACATTCTTATGCTCCGTTTGAACTTCAGTAGGTTGTCTCAACTATGTCTACATGCCTAAATGCATTGAGTTGCTGCCGTGTGATTGGCTGATTAGTTATTTGCGTTATGGAGAAGTTGAACAGGTGTACCTAATAAAGTGGCAGGTAAGTATTTCTTCAGTTGCACAATGCACTTTACATTATTTCATGTGTGCCTTATGTGCCCCGCAGTATATGATGTCTTTTATGTTTCTGTGCTCACTAAGAAAGGGTTATAAGTCTGTCAGATGCAAAATGCGTCCTGTTGCATAAGATTAAATAATGACATGCACTTGTCTTTGCTTAAAGAGTAGGAACTTCACAGCCTTGATATAAAGAATAAACAAGGTGCTGCAGGTGGAGGTGTGAAAATCCTCTTTGAGAATGAGCTCGGCGTGGCAGATTTCCACCTGCCCAACAAAAGCTGCATCCTCTACGTGTCTGAGTGTGACATCATAGCAGGAAACAGCTACAAGAGGAAACTGGTTCGCTACAGAAATGTGAGTTGAACAAATGAGACAATATACAAACCAGTTCTGCTAAAAGTTTTCCTGTGTTGTTCTGCCTGACATGAACTGTGTCCCTCCTGTTTTAAAGACCAGCAGCAGTTTCCAGGAGTTGGTGCTGGTGGAGAACACCAGACTCAGTGAGCAGTATTTCTCTGCTGTGCAGAAGTTTGTGGTGTTCGACCTCGGCTTGACTCTGCTGCCGGTCAGCGGGCAGACTGAGGCCTCGCAGCTCATCGCTCAGATCGTGAGTAACGAAGACAAAACAATAAACCTGTAATTCATGTGATGTCGTGATGCCAGTCCACGTGTGCCATGGGATTTTGTGATAACGACACATTATTATTGCAATAGTCAACTGGGCCTATACAAAAAGTTATGAATGCATTTTTATTGTATGTTGCACACACCCATTTCCTCATAAAGAGGCAAACTTTAATTTGTCTGGTTGTGCCCTCCAGTGGAACCATCCAGTAACACTCTTAGTATATAGGCAAGTGAATACTTTATATATGATGCAGCCAGTCAACTACGTGAACGTGTGGCTAAAAAGTAACAATATCTCCATCTCAAAAGGCAGAAAGCTCTTGTAGCACTACGCCTTGTTGTCTGATGCTGAGTTTTCAACCTCCAGGTTCACAGGGAGGGCAGAGAGAACCCCTTCAGGAGGAGGAGTTTGTCTCAGCTGTTGGACCCGCTGGTCCTGGCGCTGGTGCAGCATGTCCCCGGGGTCGGCAGGGTCAAAGCTATGGCCCTGCTGCAGCAATTCTCCAGCATCCAGCAGCTCTGCAACACCGCCCCCGCCGAGATGGTGCCCATCGTGGGTCAGGCTGCAGCTCAGCAAATCCACAGCTTCTTCCACAAACCCACCGCTGCCGGAACCTGACGGCTCGACTTCTGGGTCATTATTTAGACAGGAAGGTTTGGATTTAATGGTGATGCAGCAGCTCTTTGGCTCACATCATTAACTCTTCTGTACAAACTTTAAAATCAATATTTATTTACTGTTGTCTGACTGAGATATCTCAGTCTGGACCAAAGTGGAGGACCGACAGACAGACAACGCCGTTCACAGATTTGCTCTCTGGCTTTGCTGCTCAGTGTGACAAATTCTGTTTTGTTTTGTTTTGTTTTTTGCACTCTGCACTTTTGCATCCACAATAAACAAGTATCAGTCATTTGTAGCATCAGTTGTCCTTTTTTTACCTCTTAAATTCTTTCCTTAGTTTATCAGTAATTACGTTCGTGCTTTAGTTTATGAGAAACCTCTCATTGTGCACCAAAAAAAAAAAAAAGAAATTCATCAGTTTTGTTTCTGACTTTCAAAATCAAAAGGTATTGCAGCTTGATCATAGTGATTTAGATGTCAAAGAATTACACATATACTGTATCTTTTTCATTTGTTTTATTCTGGAAAAATATAAATTTTTTTTTTTTTCTCACCCACTGCTTCCCCGTGTGTAGTTACCCCTTTACCCCTGCTCGTACCCGTGGATGTATATATATAAATATTTTCCCGTTACACAGCTTTTTGCAGGTTAACCCAAACTGACATCCCTGATGTGAAAGAAAACCCCAACAATGAATACACCATATGTCACCATTAAATTAGAGCTGTATTCAATAGAAAATCTTGGTCGTCTGAAATTCTGCGTACTCTTCAATCAATTGATTGGTTGATCAGGAAAAAGATAAGTACGTTATCTCTTGGTTAACTAAATTGGCCACAGTGCACTCTACCTGGTAGATGAGTCCATCAAAGTGTTTTTTTCCTGTCACAGAGCTCAACATCAACACTCGCCCAGGGCAAGTAAACTTTGTGTACAGGCGAGTGGAATGCCACAGGACTGCTGAGAAAAATATGACATACTGGATACTACAGAAGTTAACTCTGGGGTTAATGATGTCATACAAACATTACTAAGGAGACTTACTATTTTTAGTCCAGTACGGTAGCCATCCTGCCACGCCAACAAGGGCTCCGGTGTGATTGCATCCCTTTCAGTAGCTTTATAATCCAGCCTTGAACTGGGTAAAATGCTGCACCTGTCATTGTCACCAGCCATCCAGCCACAGTGAAGAAGGAGCAGGAGAAAAACCATGAAGACCAACCATTCTGTGATGGTGCCTAACAACAACTGCCATTTCCAGCTGAGAAAGGAAACACACAGCATTAATTAAGTAACAACAGCGACTGTTCAACCAAAGAGACTTTGATCAGCAAAGAGCATATCGACCAACTGACCAGAACTTCACAGCCCTACAACAAAAATAGATTTATTACAAATGAAAGTGGATCTTTCTGTAGAAAATGAAATGGTTGTACTACTCAGTGATGGACAGCAGAGATGATCAGAGGGGCAGAGTTTTTACCACCATAATTAAGACTGGGGCGGAGGAATGGGTAGAGTTTCTCACTGAAGGAGCAGCCAGTAAAGGAGTAGATAAGAGCTGCAGAATCAACATCATAAAAGGAAACTAGACCCTCCTCATAATCCACAAACACTCCCACCTTCTTAGGCCGAGACTTCAGAGAGAGACTGACATCAGGGCCAGCACAAGCACAGTACTCATTTTCATTCCTCAAAGATATTGTCCAGTAACCTTTCTGAGGGCTCACTGTGATGTATCCTTTCCTTTTGATCGACTCTCTGGCCACTCCTAAAGTCCACTCAGTCTTCCCTTCAACCTGAACCTCAAAATAAAATCTTCCTGAAATGAAACTCTGCTTTGCTAGGACATTAACACAAGAATCAAATCTCTCTGGGTTGTCTGGGAGATTCACCTGTATATCACCATCATATACTTGTTTTTTATCATTAGATAGGACAAGAAAGGGATTTGCTGTATCAGGATCAAGTGTCACATCAACTGCATACTGCTGGACCCTCTTCAGCTCAGCTCCAGCAAGCAACTGATTCACAGCTCTCCTCAAAGTTCCCTTATATGAAGGTGGACAGACATTGATTTCTGTCCAGTCCTTGTGAGCGTTCAGGGACAAGAAGCTTTGGAGGAAGTGGAGGTGGTCATAAGAGTGTGAGGGCTGCTTCATTTCAGCTCTTCTCTTCTTCAGTTCAGATATTTCCTGTTTCAACTCTTTGATGAAGCCTTCAGCCTGTTCCTCTGTCTTTGTATGCTTCTCTATGATCGTGTCCATGAGCTCGGCCTGGCTTTTCTCAACAGACTCCTTCAGAGCGGTGAAGACCTGAACACCATCTGCTATCTCACTGCCAGCGTCCTTCCAGCTGAGCTCCACTGAGCGTTTGATCTCCTTAATCTTGAGTCGTCTCTTCTGGATCATCTGCTGAATTTCCACCTCTGTCTTCCCCAGCACAACCTTTTTATGCACATATTCTTTCAGAGGAACAACACCATGTCTTTCCTTATCTAAAACCATCCTGAGCATGCAGACACTCATAAAACACACCACATAGAACAGGCACAACACCAAGGCCTTCAGTTTGGTTCCTGAGTAGACTTCACGGGGAACTTCTCCTGGTTTCTGTTGAGCTGACTGTCTGAACTGAGCAGCCATCTCAGAGATGAACGTGTTGATGTGCAGCTGAGGTCTGGTGTTAAAAACCCTTTTACAGTTAGGACACTGACTTGGGATGTTAATATCCCAGTGTTCAGTGATGCAGGATTTGCAGAAGTTGTGTCCACATGGTATGGTGACTGGATCAGTGAACACATCCAGACAGATGGAGCACAGGAACTGATGTTCAGTCAGCAGACAGCTGGCAGCAGCCATGTCTACACTCTGAGGACAAAAAGTGTGAGAAAACAAAACTGTAATCACGTATAATTTGATTACTTGCTTTGAAAAGGCTAAACATTTTTATGGGCAATACAAGAAACTGTCGTGAAATCTTTGCGTTTTGCTCTATAACATAAAAAACAGTTGGACACTTTGGACTACATGCTCAGTCAGACCTAAATAGAGTCCACTAGGAAAATAAGGTCTGTGACAAACACAAGCTTAAGACACTTTCACATTTTGTTCTACAACATAAAAACCATCAGTAAATATCCCACATTTTAACTTTGAAGCTTTTATGCATCTTAAAAAAGGCCATTGCTAACAAGTGGCTAAATGAGACTACATAATGTCATCACACCGAACATGGCTTTAAGGTCTCGTTATGGTGATGACATCAGTTCATGCGATCATAGTGTAGGTTTTTTATAGCCTTACATTGGCTTTTCACCTCTGGCGACTGCATTAAAGGGATAGTGCACCCAAAAATGAAAATTCAGCCATTATCTACTCACCCTCATGCCGAGGGAGGCTCAGGTGAAGTTTTAGAGTCCTCACATCCCTTGCAGAGATCCCAGGGGAGAGGGGGTAGCAACACAACTCCACCTAATGGAGGCTGACGGCACCCCAGATTCAAACGTCCAAAAATACATAATTGAAACCACAAAATATCTCCATACTGCTCGTCCGTAGTGATCCAAGTGTCCTGAAGCCCCTACATAAAAAGTTGTTTGGAAAAATGTCATTTGAACTCTGTTTTTAGCCTCATTGTAGCCTGTAGCTCTGACTGCCTCTCTGGGCACCACGCTCACGTGTGTGCGCTTGCGCAAGACCGTGAGACATGGGCACCGCCTTCATGTGTGTTCACGTGCTTTCACTGGTCTCCCACGCAAGCGCACACACATGACTGCGGTGCACAGAGAGGCAGTCAGAGCTACAGGCTACAATGAGGCTAAAAACAGAGTTCAAATGACATTTTTCTAAACAACTTTTTATGTCGGGGCTTCAGGACACTTGGATCACTACAGACGAGCAGTATGGAGATATTTTGTGGTTTCAATTATGTGTTTTTGGACGTTTGGATCTGGGGCACCGTCAGCCTGCATTCGGTGGAGTTGTGTTGCTACCTCCTCTCCCCTTGGATCTCCGCATGTGTTGTGAGGACCCTAAAACTTCACCTGAGCCTCCCTCAGCATATGGGTGAGTAGATAATGGCTGAATTTTCATTTTTGGGTGCACTATCCCTTTAATGCTTCAATAATCATGAAAGTGGTGTTTATTTGTGATTATCTCGCCAAACAAAATGTTTTGTTTGCCACTGACCTTAATTGCTGCAATAATCCAAAATCTGAAAAATCTCATAGGCTTTTAGACAAGGGATCCAGGGATACTAACTTCTGTGTGGGCCTGCAGGAAAACGTCATCCCTGTGGCACTCTATTGTGATAAGAATTTTTTTACAGTTTGTATTATTTTCAATTATTACAATCAATGGATGCAAATCATGATATGATGCATTTTCACAGCCAATATAGACCTATTAATGTATCATTGCTGTTCTAAAGTGCTCTTTGTCAGAGCATAGGCTGATATAAAGTGAGAGTATAAATATCATATACTACAGTCTATGGGTCAGAGCCAGTCAGGATGAGTTAGACCATTTAGATCCATGACAATGAAACACCTGATTGTACAGACATTGATAAACAGGACTACATTACAGCTGAGGCAGATACCGCAGTAGTGTTAGCATTAGATGACAGAGAGATCACTGCATGCCCCGACAGCTTCAGTGTCAGATGAGGGAGAGCCAGGTGTGCCTCAACAGTTTGACAGCAGCTGCGACACTTTATATTTTGTAATGGTAAAAACCTTCCAAAGTTACTCAATACAATAATCTTTGTGAGGTGGGGCTGGGGGGTGCATCAAATCTGAATTTTAATTTACAAGGAAGAAACAGGAGGACAAAGGTTAGTAGATTAGCTTTAGCTGAAGCTAGCTGTGACTGCTTTCTGTCTAACTTGAACTAACCAGAGTTCAGTCACTGTGGTTTGGTTTTTACCTCTGTTTTGGTGTTCATGGCAGAATTTACAATTTGTTTTTATCAAAATGACACATTTCTATGTCAGATATTCTTCATATGGTAAAACAGATGTAAAAAAAAAATAAGTAAATCAGATTCTGGTTTTAACTAAATGTTGTCCAAGTATCCCTTCAGTGCATCTTGTCTCTGTAGGACAGTGAACTCACCAGTATTTGTTGTTGGGAAAAACCTGCTGGATTAAGCTGAGAGAGAACCAGAGAGATTTGTCTTGAGTGCTGCTCTGCTGTCCTTCAGACTTTAAGTTTCATTTCAGGAAACGTGACGGTGCAGCTCTCCTCTTTCACTGTTGCTCCACCTCTCAGTGGAGCTCTGTGGGGGAGGTTTTATTGTCTCTGGCACTGGGAAGAAATTATGAAGAATATCAAAAGCACACAGATTATTGTCCAACAACAAAATAAAGTCTTCCCTTACAAGTCAGACATTTTAAAGATTACAAAACGCAAACAACAACAACAACAGCAACAAAGAGCAATGCTTCCCTCTTTGATGTAGTGGTAGGAAAGTAAAAAGCCTCTAGAAACAGAGATCTTGAAGTCTGTCATTCCTTCTGATTGGACCACAGCAGTAGATTAATGTGCCTCTCTGTGATGCTCCTCTTTTAAAAGTAGTTAAAGTTCAATACTTTACAATAGAAGTCTTCTTCAGCTGTAAAGTGTCTGATTTAGATGGAGTTTAAAACTGTAAAAAACAAACAAAAGTAGTCAGTCACATCATACAGACTACTTGTGCCAATCAGATTTAGATTTCGTAGTTCCCCTGTATTGGCATAATCTGCTTCAGCATCAGACTGTGTATTTATTAACAGCATGTCCTCATGTGGCCACAGGCTGCAGTTTGTTATACACTCCACTAGAGGGCGTCCTCAGATTTCACTTATTCTCTACACAGTAGGCGCAGTGGTTAAGTGTTGATATCAGCTGTTCAGACACAACTCAGACATTAAAGTTGGGGTAGGCAGTTTTAATTCCCCTTACCACAAAAATCCAGTGATTACCTTTCAGCATATCGAGAGAAAATAAGACTTCTGCTCCTCCTCTTGGCTCTGTTTTTAGGCTTTAGAAAATCTAGCCTTTGACGGGAGACTCAATCACAGGTCTTTTCAGAGAAATGGTGTTAGTAATACTGGCTGTTCTACAAATGGAAATGCATGTGCACGTCCCTTTGGCGAACCTGATTCAGTGGTGGAGAATACTGCAAAGAAAGTTGCTAATCCAGCATTGGCAACAACTGCCTACACTGCAATGCAACTCAGAAAAGGAAGACGGACTTAACAAGAACAGAGTCTGACAATAAACAAAATAAAATGTGTTAATATCTGTGAAGCATTTCAGAGATGAAGAGAAAATGTTGCTAATAGTTTAGCCTTCTGCTAACTGGAGCCAAAAGCTCACAGCTGCAGCTTCAAGTTCACATTTATGTAGCTAACATTAGCTAAGGCCTCAAATCACAGTGTTTCCTGACACCCTCCCACTGCAGACTGCTTCGCCAGAAGGAGAGTGGGCAGCAGCTCTGGAGACGGCACTTAAGTCAGGGGCCGCAGCAACCTGAATCCAGCCAGCCCAAATCCCAGCTCCACAGGACCTGACAACCCAAACTCGCCGCCAGATCAGCAAGCTTTCTGTTGCTGCTGTGACACAGGTTAGATTGGGTGCAGCCACTGGCCACGAGCCCACTGTGACATCTGGCACTGGTGGGTTGCTGTGATTAAATTCATTTCGCTACAGCCGCCAACTGAAGGTCTGTAGTTTTCTGATGACTGACCAGTCTTGAATCCAGGTAATGCAGTTATTAGAGTAAATTAGATAACATCAATCAGTGTGGTAAAATATGTGTGTTGTAGCAGTAAATAGAAAATGTGACACATCAAGGAAAATATTTTCAGAGCTATAAAAGTGTACTCAGTAAAATGCAGATCATCGTCAGTGAGCCGCCCAAGCTGATGGCAGCAACTCTAATTTCAGCAGATGCGCTGCAGCACATTTCAGGGACCTAAAATACACCCCTTGTCTATTTTTGATGGAGCCACAACATATTCCGCAGAGCAGATATTTCCTGTTAACAGGTGCTGTATGTGAAATATAAATACAATATGAAAATGAAGATTGAATGTATTTTTATTCATTAAAACACTGCCACAAATCTTTGATCCATGGATTCATAAGTGGACTTAGAACAGTATTAAAGGGATAGTGCACCCAAAAATGAAAATTCAGCCATTATCTATTCACCCATATGCCGACGGAGGCTCAGGTGAAGTTTTAGAGTCCTCACATCCCTTGTGGAGATCAGCGGGGGGAGCGGCTAGCACACCTAATGGCAGACGGCACCCCAGACTAACGTCTAAGAACACATAATTGAATCCACAAAGTATCTCCATACTGCTCATCTGTAGTGATCCAAGTGTGCTGCAGCCCCGACATAAAAAGTTGTTTCTAAAAACGTCATATGAACTCTGTTTTTAGCCTCACTGTAGCCTGTAGCTCTGACTGCTTCTCTGTGCTCCGTGCTCACGTGTGCGCGCTCAGGGTGATTGGTGATGCACGGTCTCTGAAGAGCAGCAGTCTTGTCAGTACTGATGTTCAGTAGTGCAGGCATCGCCAATTCCCAGTCTGAGCAGCAAAGACTTTCCTCATCCATTGGTATTGCTTTACATTTGAAACAACTACACCACCAGGTTTCCAGTGCTCGACTCCGGTAGTCTGCGGCTGGCTGAGGCTCATGAGCTGCGGCGGCTGTTTCGTCCAGTAGCCTGAGTTCCGTCCGTATACTCGGGCTCAAACAAATACGGCTCAACAAAGAAATGCTGTTCCTCCTCAATTTCAAAGTCTTCAGACATGTTGGGCTGTCCTTTGCTAAAATACTGTGGTGCAAATTATCTTTTAGCTCTGTGGTTACCGTTGTCTCCCCGTGCGGTGCACGTGTCACATGATGTAAACACAGGTGAGCAAAGCTCATGCTTTCGTTGGTCTCGCGCAAGCGCGCACACATGAGCGCGGAGCACAGAGAAGCAGTCAGAGCTACAGGCTACATTGAGGCTAAAAACAGAGTTCATATGATGTTTTTCGAAACAACTTTTTATGTCCGGGCTTCAGGACACTGGGATCACTACAGATGAGCAGTATGGAGATACTTTGTGGATTCAATTTTGTGTTCTTGGACGTTAGTCTGGGGCGCCATCAGCCATTAGGTGTGCTAGCTGCTCCCCCCGCCGATCTCCGCAAGGGATCAGTCAATCAATTTTATTTATAAAGCCCAATATCACAAATCACAATTTGCCTCACAGGGCTTTACAGCATACAACATCCCTCTGTCCTTATGACCCTCGCAGCGGATAAGGAAAAACTCCCCCAAAAAAACCCCTTTAACGGGTAAAAAAAACGGTAGAATGGATGTGAGGACACTAAAACTTCACCAGGGCCTCCGTCGGCATATGGGTGAGTAGATAATGGCTGAACTTTCATTTTTGGATGCACTATCCCTTTAACTATGTCTGTAAGCTACAGAACAACAAAGTAGAAAATAACAATTGACACAATCAATACAGACAATAAAAAGAGACCCTTTAACTTCATATTTAATTATGGGAGAAACACAAATCCATCCATCCATCCATCCATCCATCCAGACGTTCGAGCTCCTCACCCTATCTCTAAGGCTGAGCCACCCCACACAAACAAATGCAAATATCAAGGAAAAAATGACCAAATCAAAAATCCCAACACTCCCAGTGTGGTATGACTTGGTTTGTAGCAATATACCAGTTTTAAAGTATACCGTGATATAAAATTCAACGGTTATCATACCATGTTCATTTGCTTATCTACGACATTGAAAACAAACAAACAAACAAACAAACAAACACACCACTAGACGTTGAATCTCACCTTATTTAAGTTATTTACAGCCCCTACCAGTCAGTAAGGAGCAACCACTATAAATCACTGAAACTCTTGAACATACATACAAATGTGCACACAAAATCTGAGGCTGATTGGTCCAGTAGTTTGCGAGATTAGCTGTGGACACACAGAAACACACACACCCTCAATCACTATACAATTACTGCTTTAAAGAAAGCTTATCTAGAAAATTACTCAGTGTGACTGAGAGGAGAGATGATCAGAGGGGCAGAGTTTTTACCATCATCATTAGGATATGGAGTGAAGAATGGGAAGAGTTTCTCAGTGAAGGAGCAGCCACTAAAGGAGTAGATAAGAGCTGCTGCATCAACGTCATAAAAGGAAACCAGACCCTCCTCATAATCCACAAACACCCCCACCTTCTCAGGCCGAGACTTCAGAGACAGACTGGCATCAGGGCCAGCGAGAGCATAGTACTCCTTTCCATCCCACAAACATATCGTCCAGTAACCATCCTGAGGAGTCAGTGGGATATCTCCTTTCCTGTTGATCGACTCTTTGGCCACTCCTAATACCCAGTAGGTCTTGCCTTTAACCTGAACCTCGAAGTAAAATCTTCCTGATGAGAAACTCTGCTTTGCTAAGACACAGACACAATTATCAAATCTCTCTGGATTGTTTGGGAGATTCTTCATTTCATCACCATGTTTAACTTGTTTTCCATCATCAGACAGGATGAGGTTGGGATGTGCTGTGTCAGGATCAAGTGTCACATCCACTGCAAACTGCTGGATCCTCTTCAGCTTGGCCTTAGCCAGCAGCTTATTCTTCTCTTTACTGAGTGTCTCCTCCAGCTGATTCACATCTCTCCTCACAGTCCCCTCATATGAAGGTGGACAGATGTTAAATTCTGTCAGATCCTTAGCAGGTGGAGCAGCATTCAGGGATGTGAAGCTTTGGAGGAAGTGGAGGTGGTCTTCAGACTGTAACAGCTGCTCCACCTCAGTGCTCCTCTTCTTCAGCTCAGATATTTCCTGTTCCAGCTCTTTGATGAAGCCTTCAGCCTGTTTCTCTGTCTTTCTCTGCTTCTCTTTGATCGTGTCTATGAGCTCGGCCTGGCTTCTCTCAACAGACTCCTTCAGAGCGGTGAAGACCTGAACACCATCTGCTATCTCTCTGTCTGCACCTCTCTGACTGAGTTTCACTGAGCGTTTGATCTCCTCAATCTTCAGTTGTGTCTTCTGGATCATCTGCTGAATTTCGGCCTCTGTCTTCCCCAGCTCGAGTTTCTTTCCTTCACATTCTTCTTTCAGAGGAACAACATCATGTTTTTTGTGATCCAAAACAGTGCAGAGCATGCACACACACATGTGGTCATCCTTACAGAACAGCTCCAGCTGTTTATCATGCTCTCTACACATCCTGTCTTCCAGGTTCTCCACAGGGTCGATCAGCTGATGTCTTTTAAGGCCTGACATTGTCCGATGAGGCTCCAGGTGAGTCTCACAGTAGGAGACCAGACAAACCAGGCAGGACTTCAGCGCCTTCAGTTTGGTTCCAGTGCAGACGTCACAGGGAACTTCTCCTGGTTTGAAAACTTGTTGCTCTGAGCTGCTGCTGCTGGCTTTCTGTTGAGCTGACTGTCTGAACTGAGCAGCCATCTCAGAGATGAAAGTGTTGACCTGCAGCTCAGGTTTTCGGTAGAAAAGCTTTTTACAGTTGGGACACTGATAGGGGACATTAATATCCCAGTGTTTAGTGATGCAGGTTTTACAGAAGTTGTGTCCACATGGTATGGTGACTGGATCAGTGAACACATCCAGACAGACGGAGCACAGGAACTGATCTTCAGTCAGCAGACAGCTGGCAGCAGCCATGTCTACACTCTGAGGACAAAAGTAAAAGTGTGATAAAGCAAGACAGCAAAAACAAAGTTGCTAGGTTAACTGAAATATCAGGAAGTAATGTAAAATTATTTCATCATTAGTTCATTATTAGTTCTTTGAAAGCACAAAAACAATAGAACTTCCTGTCTGGGTCGAGCTGAAGTTTTGTGTTAATGTTGTTTGTTACAACACAGTAAATATTATCAGCTGTACTCACCAGTGTTTGGTAGAGATTGCGTTGTTGAGAGACCCTGGATTAAATGTGTCTTGTCTGGACTGCAGGTCTGCTGTCACTCAGATGAATGTTTAGTGTCATTTTAGGAATGTGTTATCTGAATACTTCCAGTGTTGCTCCTCCTCCTTCGGCTTTGCAGGTGAGTTTTTGTTACCTTTCAGGTTTGACTTCATTAGTGACATAGTTTTAGCACAAGCCTCCTTTTTTAAGTTTGATGTTTATTTTTTTTATATTGGAGTCAGTAGCATGCTCTAAACCAGGGGTGTCAAACAAACAGCCCGTGGGCCCACTAAAGGGTCCAATCTGGCCCACTAGATGACACCTGAGATTGATGCACTAATGAAGGCTGAGAGGTGTCAGGTTTAAACAGTGAGGAGATACTTAATGTAAAATGCTGCCTCAGAAGCTTTTCACCAGAACACAGCTCTCTGAAATATCACTGAGTTCTTCCTGCGGTTAGATTTAAACATACTGAACATTGTGCGAAATATTGTCAACCAGCAGCACCAGTACAAAAGAATCTGTTCAAGACTACCAGACGTGAGTGAATTACATTTAAAGTCAATGTAAAGATAAGATTAGATACGAATTCCTACCGGGTGGCCCGATGGACCCAATGGATGCAAATTAAGCGGGCAGCGCAATTTCATGTCATACGCTTATTCATTAGAGTTGAAAAATCTGAACTTCAGCAACCGATTTGCACTGTGATAGCCAATCAGCAATGAAGTCCTCTGGGAACGTATGATGCTGAGGACGTACCGATGGAAATTCATTCAGCGATTCTGCGATTCAGCAATTTCACAAGTTATTTGCGCAGATAAAGTGAGTCAACACACAAACTATTCTAGTGTTCACGCAACACGAAAATTCACATCACGTTTGGTCACATTGTGTTGGCATCGATACAGGCAATAGATGGCACCAGAGGGCGGAGTCAAAAGTTTCACACAACAACAAACAAGGTGACGGTGGAGGAGGTCATGATAATGCACCTTTAAACTGAGGCAGCGTTGTCGACGGTGGTGGTCTGTGGGGTCATTAAATATATTCTGACATGTGGATTCTCTCCACTAAATTATCAATTTGTTCTGTTCCCCCATTTCTAAGATTTCTTTGTCGTCTCCTATGGTCGTATCTCGCTTGAACTACACAACACTGCCTCCACGATCTCTCCACGATCTGTCTCCATGACAGAAGGCTCCATCTAGCTCCGTCTTTAACGTTGAGCATAAATGAGCCCTTAGTCCCATCTCTAGTCTTTACAGTTAGTAAGCAAGTCAACAACTGAAATGAGTCTGACACCCCTGATCTAAACAACAAAACAAAAGAGCTCAACCTGACATAGAAGAACGTACTGTATCTTGTTGGGAATAGAATGATTTTATGTGTTTTACTATAAGTTGTGTTTCACTATATAAGTTTTAGATGTGTGAACAATGAGAATACTGAGATGATTTCAGCTGATCTGAATGTGTTTGCTTTGCAGAAGTGGAGAAGTACAGGAGAGGAAGAGACATGAAGTCTGAGGAGCACATATCGCAATGCTTAGATAATTAGTTTCATATATGGTAAAAAGAATAGAAAGTGATGAACAGATAGTAAGGTACAGCACGTGTAGGGAGTTGTGTTGTTCTCTTGTCTTTCAAAACAGGAACCACGCCCCCACCGCCAGCGGGATGGAGTCAGATTAACACGAGGCAGGGGCGTGGTGTGGTGAAGGAGGAAGTGGAACTGCCAATGAGAAGAGGACAACGCCTTGCGTGCACAATGACACTCTGTTACGCTCAAATATACTGGGTCAGGGTAAGGACAGGAGGTCAGACTTCGTGAACTGACACACCTTTGTTGTTCGTCAGGGACGTGAAGTTGAGACCCAGAGCTCTGTAATTTTATTCTTTTACTGCTTAATAAACTACATTAACTGAGACCGAATATCTTCTCCTATTGCTTCATTAAAGAACACGCAGGACTGAGCTCACACATAGCACATTAGAGAGTAGGATGACTCTTAGTCCAACAATCTGTAGATCAGTGGATTAAAACACTCCCTTCACAGTCTCTCTTTAAACCCACAATAATCTCAACATCAGGTCAATGTCAAACTTTAGTTTTCACATCACATGTAACCCATGGAATGAGTGGCACAAAGACACAAATAGTATTTATGTGAAGCTTTATTTATATATTGCTTTTTAAAACACCCAGACATAAACAGAATGAATCAGTCATAAATCAAATAAAAATAAAATACAATATAGAGCACAGCACATTGACAGACAGAAAAAAATGAAAACAAAAACACAGCACATGAGGAAGCTCTATAGAACGGCTTAAAACAGTCCAAAGACTGGACTGGAGAGGATTGTTCCAGAGGGTTGGGTCTAAAACTGCAAATACAGGAACAACTGGTTTTGCAGCTGGAGCAGGGGATGGTTAAAAGATCTGCCCATCGCAGTGGTCCAGAAGTAGAGTTACTCAGTGGGGTTCCTGTATCTTTAGGGTTGTGGTTCTTATTGATTACAGGTTTTGTACAGAAAGCTGCAGTCAATTAACCTGTTGTTTGGGCCCCGATCATACAGACAGTGTTTTGCAGGTTGAAAAACACACTGACTCTACCCTTCCTGTGTGATCAATCTAAACTTTATTTATTCATTTATTTTCACAGTAATTGCTAGCTAGTAACTAAAATGTTGAGGCAGAGGGTACTTGCTGTAGCTCTGGTTGAGGGTGGGAGGCTGTCAGCAAATAGTTTGTTTGGCACAGGGAAATGGAGATCTGTGGGGGTAGATAAAAAACAGGGTGGCTAACGGGGAGTACCACCAGTTGGTCCAGGAGCTTGACCTCCATGATGGATGTTTCAAGTACCTCACTTCGGAAGCTCTAGCGAAAGTTCAGTCAGGAAGACAATACTTTTCATGCTCAAGCTCTACGTTCTTTCTCACCCTGCCATTCACTCCTTGCATGCATGCTCACTTACTATCTCTGGGTGTCATTGTCTGGGTCTGTCAGTTGAGTCATCAGCTGATTCACAATCAACCAACAGCACAGCGACACACCTTCTCTGTCAGCCTATCATCTTGATGGCCGAAGCTATCATACAAGGTGCCCTCAGTTTTTAACACGCTCACACACCAATGGAACAGCCATCAGGAGCAATTTGGGGTTCAGTATCTTGCTCCAGGATACTCTGACACACAGCCGGGGACTAAACCGCTGTTTTTCTGATTAGTGGACGACCCGCTCTACCTTCTGAGCCTAGACCCTAAAAAGTTAGTGCTCCAGAGAAATCCAATATTCCCCTTAATACCTCCACAGTGTCTGATGAGGTGGACATGATAACCCTTAATACACATAACTTTATTCATCCCTACAACAGGAAATACTTTTTCCCTAACCTGATATGAAGTGTATGCTGCACATGTGAGCATTTTTGATGATGGCCTCCGTCCAGTCCTTTGGTCTTATCACATTTAACTATAGTTGTCTTTGTTTTCGTTGCCGGGCAGTGGCGGCTGGTTTTGAGCCATGACTCCTTCTATTCTGGCTCCCAATAACACAACAAGACTACATTTTTAGACTCCTATGTAGCCTACAGCCCGAGTCGTGTTTTTCCTCCAGCTAATAAAATGACGCCTTTGTGACATCGGCCCGAAAAGGGTCTTTATGGACAGTATATACACCCGCCAAAGTGGTTAGAAAGAGTGACTCTGTTACACTGACCATTTCTACCTGCATTTGTTAGGTAATAATGTCAAGCCCTGGTTGAAGTAGTGAATGACAATGTAAAATATTAAAGAAAAACATTTACAGGAAAAAAGGAAAAAAACCCACATTGATCAGAATCTACAATAAAAGCAATGGATACACTTTATGTCAACAATAAATTAACATTAATTATATGGAATGATAGTGAATCTTGCTGAGGAAAAAATCTTTATGGTTGTTCTACTCAGTGTCATTGACAGGAGAGATGATCACAGGGGCAGAGTTCTTACCATCACTGGAAGCACCAGGACTGAAGAATGGATAAAGTTTCTCAGTGAAGCAGCAGCCGGTAAATGAGTAGATAAGAGCTGTAGCATCTACGTCATAAAAGGAAACCACACCCTCCTCATAGTCCACAAACACCCCCACCTTCTCAGGCCGAGACTTCAGAGAGAGATGGACATCAGGGTCAGCACGAGCTTTATACTCATTTACATTTCTTAAAGATATCGTCCAGTAACCTTTCTGAGGAATCTGTATGATTTTTCCCTTCCTCTTGATCGACTCTCTGGCCACTCCTAAATCCCAGTCAGTCTTTCCTTTAACCTGAACCTCAAAATAAAATCTCCCTGAAGAGAAACTCTGCTCTGCTAAGACACAAAAACAAATATCAAATCTCTCAGGATTGTTTGGGACATCTGTCCATTCATCATCATCATGTACTTGTTTTCCATCAACAGAAACAATGAGCCAGCTTTGTGCTGTATCAGGATCTAGTGTCACATCCACTGCATACTGCTGGACCCTCTTCAGCTCGGCAAAAAGCAGGTTAGTCATCTCCTCATTAAGTATCTCCTCCAGCTGATTCACAGCTCTCCTCACTGTCCCCTCAAATGAAGGTGGATGGTCACTGACTTCTGTCCAGTCCGTGGTGGGTGGAGTAATGTTAAGGGGAAGGGAGCTTTGGATGAGGTGGAGGTGGGCTTCAGAGTGTGAGAGCTGCTCCAACTCAGCGCTTCTCTTCTTCAGCTCAGAGATTTCCTGTTCCAGCTCTTTAATGAAGCCTTCAGCCTGTTTCTCTGTCTTTTTCTGCTTCTCTTTGATCGTGTTGATGAGCTTGTTCAGGCTTCTCTCAACAGACTCCTTCAGAGCGGTGAAGACCTGAACACCATCTGCTATCTCTCTGTCTGCACCTTCCTTACTGAGCTCTACTGAGCGTTTGATCTCCTCAATCTTCAGTTGTCTCGTCTGGATCATCTGCTGAGTTTCTGCCTTTGTCTTCTCCAGCTCTGCCTTCTTTCCTTCATATTCTTCTTTCAGAAGAACAACAACATATTTCTTGTGGTCTAAAACCATCCAGAGCACCAAGACAAACATCAGACACACCAGGAAGAACACCAAGGCCTTCAGTTTGGTTCCTGAGTAGACTTCACACGGAACTTCTTTTGGTTTCTGTTGAGCTGACTGTCTGTACCGAGCAGCCATCTCGGAAAACAAAGTGTTGACATGCAGCTCAGGTCTTGTGTTGAAAGCCTTATTACAATTCGGACACTGACTTGGGACCTTAATATCCCAGTGTTCAGTGATGCAGGTTTTACAGAAGTTGTGTCCACATGGTATGGTGACTGGATCAGTGAACACTTCCAGACAGATGGAGCACAGGAACTGATCTTCAGTCAGCAGACAGCTGGCAGCAGCCATGTCTACACTCTGAGGACAAAAAGTGTGAAAAAAACAAAACTGTAATCACATATCATTTGATTACTTGGTTTAAAAAAAAGGCGAAACATTTATAATTCAAATTTAATATTTCTTCATTTCTTACCATTTAATGTGATACATTTAGCCAGTATTTTTGCTTTGTAATTTGTCTTATTGAAACATCTGAGAGAGTAGAGCAAAACAATAATCCCCTTCTCCGTCCAAATACCTTTAGTGTCAGAGAGTCAACTTGAACAAAGAGGAGGAAGAGGAGGCACACACGGCCACAGCCCCCATGGCCACAGATGGACAAGACTTTTCTAGGATGTCTACATCTATGACCCCTGTCATCTTACTCCACCCTAATGCACAAATTTATTTGAATGGATGTCTTACAGCCAATCACAGTGTTCCACAACATCTAAAGTGGACTGCAGTAGAGCTAGGGCTGTGACGGTATGTATTTTTTCTCACAGCGGTGACAGAGAAACCCTGAAGCTGGCATTTCAGCACGTGCATTTAAAATAAACATTAATTCAAAAAACGAGAGTCCGTTTTAGTCGTTTTAGAAGAGGTCTGATACATGAACTACAGTGTGTTTACGTCCTGCGCGGAGGGATACACCGGTGAGCAACAGCTGCAGCTGGCTCTGGGACAGGTATGCTAGGTCACTCTGTAAAAGCAAACAAAGACACGACACGGACGATATTACTCACTCGACTGAAAGCTGTCCATCAGCTCCTGCAGGCCTGGGCGTTTTTTCCAGTTTAACTTAGTGATTGCTGCAAAGTTTTCACTCCTTGTGATGCACTCTCTGTGGCGGTTTATCTCCTGATGATATATCTCCCCAACGATGGTAGCACCGAATCCCATTCTGTGCAGCAAAATGATTCCACCTCCGTAGGAATATGTTAGCTAGCCCCGCAGCTATACCACCAGTCCTGCCCTGACCTCCGTCTCCCCTCAGCCCGTTGCTGCTCCACCGCTCCGAAGGATTCAGCCTCTCTTCTCGCCCGCTCAGCATCCAACACCTGGGAGTTCCTCATCTGTGTAATCCGGCTCAAACAGGTATGGCACTGGGTCTGTGTCCGCTACAAGAAACTCCTCAAAATCGCGTTGAAAGTCGTTGACTGCAGCTACTACAGTCCGGAGTAGGGCCGTAACGGTACATGTATTTGTGTCAAACCGTTCGGTACACGACTTTCAGTTCGGCACGACCCTGTACTGAATTATTGGGCGCAGGATATTATATTATTTTATTTTATTTTGTTTTATTTTAATTCCATTTTTGCGAGCCGAACCATTTAAAATATCTAGTTCCCCGACGGACATAATTGAGTGACGGACCAAGTCCCGTAAATCTCCGCTTTCACTTTGTGCAGCGCATTCTCGCATTTTGACAACATGGCAAGTGAGCCTGATGAACCTGAAGACCCACCCGCAAACCTTAAGTCCTCTGTTTGGGAACACTTTGGTTTCAGGGTAAAATACGAAGATGGAAATAAACAAGTTGACAAGACAAAAGCAGTGTGCCGACACTGCAGAACAGTTGTCGGGTATGTACTTGGAAACACGTCTAACATGCTAACGCATCTAAAGCGACACCACCCGAGTTTGAACGTTAACCGGCATAACTAGAAAAAGCAATCTGGTGCAAACTACGATATCGTTGTCGTTTAAAAAGAAAGAGCGTTTCCCTGACCATCGCGCTAAAGAAATAACCAACGCCATTGGAGCTGAGTAAAACTGTTTAAGCTGCACTTTAGATATAAGCATGTTTTGTTTACTGCACTTTAACAAAGTGGGAAAGCCAAGTAAGTTCCTAGTAAAACTGAATCTGAGCAGGCTTTAAAGCTGACCAGCTGCACTATACTTTTTATTTTAATTGAGTAAAACTGTTAAAGCAGAAATTTATATTTATATTTTTCACTTTTAGAATTCTATTTTCATTCAAACTGTGAAAAAGCAGGATTTTATATATATTTGTTTCATTCAAAAATTGTGTAAAAAGAGTTAACTGCTGTGGTGGTATGTTTTAATAAGGTTACCAATAAGTAAAAGATATTTAATAGTTGTCTATTTTTTTCATTACTGTACCGAAAAAAAACGACCCGTGACTTGTGTACTGAGGTACGTACCGAACCGAAATTTTTGTGTACCATTACACCCCTAGTCTGGAGATATCGCTAGGTTAAATAAACAGCTGAGTTTTGTTTACAAGCTACGTCTGTGCCTGCTCACCGGTGTATCCCTCCGCGGATCACAGCGCAGGACGTACTGACCCCAATGCTAACCGCTGAGACCCAGCCACTGGATGTACAGACACAAAAAGGATATCCATCATGTTGTCTCAATATGAAAATGATAGCAAAAGGGCATAACTCCTAAATTGTATTCTTTTAACATTTGGCTTGGGAACCAGATCCGCCTCCATGATGAATCAGCTTTTTATTTTTTATTTTTTTTGTACGGTGATGACCTCTTCACCGCGGTAGGCATCACGTGACCGCGGTATTGCGGTGATGCGGTTTTTGTCACAGCCCTAAGTAGAGCCACACCCCATTTTGACAAACATGGCCATCAGTGAGGCAAGGAGACCCATTTTAATCTATTAGGGGCCGTACACATGCTGCGTTTTTTTGCCCCGCTTAAATTCATTATTTTTAATGTAAATGCGTGGCAAACACCAGAGCGACACCAGAGCAGTGCACACCTGAAGCCAAATTTGGTAATGTTACCTTTGTAAAATGTTGCTGTTGCTGAGGAAAGCTCTGCTAACCGCTAGGCTAATTTATACAATGTAAAATGCCATAGGTTTGTGCTAAAAACATTAGCATGTTGTATTTGTGGGGAAACTGTGTCCAGATAAAGACAAGTGTTCTTCTGTGAATGCTGCGAGTTATAGTGAAGCTGATTTGTGTACTTTTATTTGAGATTGTCGCTATAAAGCCAACTAGTGTTCTGGAGGTGTAACTGCAGAGTGACACATCATACAAGCATACATGTAACCATGGTAACACATATGCACATCAGTGAGGGTATTTTTCCTGTTTAAAAAGCTGTTAAAACTGCCACCATTACATTAATCTCTGTGTACTGTCTGTTCACTGAATGCATTAAAAAGTGTGACAGTGATCCCACAGTATCAAGCCCTGAATCATTACTGTACAAGACACCTTCTTCTCTTCCTGTCTCTGTTAGATATTATTCAGAACATGTGATTGTTTTGCAGTCTAATAATAGCCTCCTAATAATGCTCACAGTCAGTTATTACTCTATGAGCTCTTTGTGAAACCAGACAACATGAATATAAAAACTTTAGAGGCATCAAAGTGCTGCTGCATAAACTTCACTGAGTCACCAGAATTTGATTTTTCCTGATGATGCAGGATGACAAACACCAGAACTGTCCAATCAGCATGTTACCTGTCAGTCGTTATTATTTCATGTTTACTCATCTTGGTTCGTTTTAAGTGTGAACAGGAACAGAACCAAAACTAAAATACAACAGTGGATCATGTGATCCCTCTGCTGCGGACCAGATGAACTTAACTACAGGTGTGCGAGCAGCCTGGTCTCGGTAGGTTTTTGCAGACATAACTTATCATGACTTTTTTCTTTGTTATTGGTTCTGACATGAACTAAATCATGACCAAATGTTTAGGGAGTGCATTTTGTCTCAGTGTACTCACCTGTGTGTGTTTGTTGTTGTGGAGAAAAAACAGCTGGATTCAGTTGAATGTTTCTGTAGAGAGAAATACAGACATTCGTCGACTGCAGCGCTGCTTTCACTCAGTTTCAGTTTCGTTTCATGTGACGTTGCAGCTCTGCTCTTCACTGTAGCTCCTCCTCCTCCTCCCAGTGCACAAGAAGAAAACGTTTCACACTCCAATCAACGTGTGTTATAGTGAATAAAGTTTCACTGATCGCTGTTGTTTTAAACAGCCCACCTTTCTAAACTCAACAAAACGTCACATGATGCTGTCAAGATGTGGTTTACAATCCTGTGAGGAGCAAGAGATTGAGTTGGGTTGCACACCTGCTGCTCCTGTCACTGATGGTACTCTTGTGCGCATGTGCGTCACTGGTAGCAGGTAATTATTATCACCTGCGCACCTGTTTATCAGTTAACAGAGAGGAGACTCTTATTATGTGTTGACAGCTGCCCCTTGTGTCCAGCTCAGCTACAATACAACAGAGCATCTCATTAGATAGGCCTCTTTCTTTCTTTCTTTCTTTCTAAATAAATAAATAAATAAATAAATGAATAAATAAATAAATAGATAACTAAATAAAAGGAATATGTTAGATAAACACAATGACATTCTCTACAACTGTCATTTCAGATACCCACATCGTCATCTTAGATAGTCAGAATAAACATCGTAGATATCTGCAATTGCATTCTTACTGGGAATAATTCCACTTTTAGATATCTACAATCCAGTTGTTCTAGTCATGGTTTAATTTTAGATATTAAAAAAATCCAGATATCCATAATGCAATTATGAATATCCAAAATATTATTTTTAATTTTGAGTAGTATAAATGTCATTTTGGATATCCACAATTAGCATTATGACAGGAAAATGCAAATGCACATATCTACAATTAAAATCATGACTAGTAACAATTGGATTATAAAATGTTCACTCCGACTATCTAAATCACATTGTGGATATCTGAAATGACAATAAATAAATAAATAAAATAATAATAAGGAGGATGATGGTGATGATCATAGAATAATAATGATAATAGTTATTATTATAATAAACTTTATTCATAGAGCACCTTTAATACAAGAAATGCAGCATACAAGTGTTTTACAATAAGGGCAGTATGAGCACTGAGTGCTTCACATGAAAACAGACATAATGGACATAAAACAGACAAACCAGGCATCTCAATATAAAAGGACATTTAAAACAGTTTAAAACATGGATGAACTGATTAATAAAATCATAGAGTTGTAAAACTATAGTTCATAAATGATTTTAAAAGAGTTGCAGCAGCGTGAAACATAAATTTAGTTCAGTTTAGTTTATTTGGTTTATAAGAGGACAGCGTGCAATGACATTAATCATTTAAGAGAAATCAAAAACATAGTTACACCAGATTAAGCAAAACTGTAATTTCCATCCGTAGTCCTAAACATAACAAGTAGACACAATAAATATGAATAAAATTCAAGATGCAGTGCAGACTGCAGTTAATCCATGTGCCTGACATAACAGAAGCAGCTGCATAGAACAAAATACGTGCATGCATGATTAAAAAAATGTCAAAGTGTAGATATTTGAAAATGTAGTTTGTAGAAATTTAGTTTAAGTTTATGAACTCCTGTATTCATGTCGTTAGTTTCATTATCAGACTGTTGATCATGGGATTATGAGGCAGTGGGCCCCTGGGCAGAGATATGCAAAAGGCCCCACCATGTCTCCAACACAGGAGCATGGCACACAGACTTTATGGTTGTTTAGCCTCTTTTTTTGTTGTTTTTGTCTCTTTAGCCCCGTTTCCACCAAACACTTTCACTATAGTACCTTTGGAACCAACAGTAACCCTAAAGACCTAGACCCTTGCATTTCCACTGCAAACAGTGCTCTTAAATGTGTCGCTCACTGCTCCGTCCAGCACTCACTGTATTTCCTCATTACCGGTGACACAGTCTGCACCTCGTGCACAGGAATGACTCTCCGCCATGCTTTTTTTTTTCTCTGAGTGAGGATTAGAATACAGTATGTGCAGTTCACATAAACTGGCAAAAAATGATTTATATAAATGCTCATTACTAAAAGTGTGTGTTATATAAAAACTAAAGTGATGGTCAAAGCTGTCACGGTGAAATTTAAGGTGTGCTGATGGATTCACGTCATCAACTCATGCATTGAGTAACATTACAAGTAAACATTCCACCTTAAAAGTTGCCGGCAGTCGGCCCAGTGAATGAAGTTATTTTTTCTCAGACTCCAGCTGCTGTGAGAGGCAGCAAAACATCCTTTCATTTTACAGTTACAGTTTACTAATAAAACTCTCCACAGTATGAACAGTGGTTACGTGAGCTTCAAAACCAGCCACAACTCAGCCCTGAGCAGAGTCACTGTCCTCTACTGACCAATCAGACTGCAGTGTTCACAGCTCCACCTTTTAGTACCACATCTGTGTGCTAGGTACCCCAACAGAGGGGGGACCAAACACGGGGACGGTACAGAACGGTTCCATTGGTACCATCCACAGCTTTTCACTGTGGAAACAGAAAAAAAGCGTACTGAACTAAACTGAGCCGTACTGCTTAGTGGAAACGAGGCTTTTATAGTCATTATGATTCTTTACGTCTCTTTGTGGTCATTTTTGTGGGTGGACATTTTGTTTTACCTTTTGGGGTTGTCTTGCCCTTTTTTATTTTGTGTCTTTTTGCAGTTCCTTTGCATCTCTTTGTGGTCTTTTTGTGTCTCCTGGTAGGCCTGTTCAGTGACCTATCCATGCTGGTGATAGTTATTTATGAAGGGCATGTGTCAGGCTGCAGTTTGTTATGAACTAGACCAGAGGGCTGATGTAAATTTATCAAGTGGTAACCTACACAGCTGAAAAATGAAGCTGATGCAGAAGTGGCAAAAACTGCAGTTCCTCTAATGGCCACTTGAGGTTGACTCCAGAAGTGAGTCGATCCCCATAGACCCCCATGTTAAAATGCCCAACTTTACAGCAGAAATAAACATGTTTACAGCCTGGTACAAAAAACAGTTTTGGTCTCTATAGCTAATTTCAACATTCCTGAAACTGTACAGGAGGTGAATTTTTTATATAACTGACCCATTTACATTTTATTAAGGTTTAAAGTGGATGTTAAAATGGTTGTTCTATTCAGTGATGGACAGCAGAGATGATCAGAGGGGCAGCGTTTTTACCACCATAATTAAGACTGGGACGGAGGAATGGGTAGAGATGCTCACCGAAGGAGCAACTAGTAAAGGAGTAGATGAGAGTTGCAGAATAAACGCCATAAAAGGAGACCAGACCCTCCTCATAATCCACAAATACCCCCACCTTCTTAGGCCGAGATTTCAGAGAGAGACTGACATCAGGGCCAGCTTGAGCTTTATACTCATTTTCATTCCTCAAAGATATCGTCCAGTAACCTTTCTGAGGGCTCACTGTGATGTATCCTTTCCTCTTGATCGACTCTCTGGCCACTCCTAAAGTCCACTCAGTCTTCCCTTCAACCTGAACCTCGAAGTAAAATCTCCCTGACGAGAAACTCTGCTTTGCTAAAACATTAACACAAGAATCAAATCTCTTTGGGTTGTCTGGGAGAGTCACCTGTACACCACCATCATGTACTTGTTTTTTTATCATCAGACAGGATGAGGTTGGGATGTGCTGTGTCAGGGTCAAGTGTCACATTCACGGCATACTGCTGGACCCTCTTCAGCTCGGATCCAACAAGCAACTGATTCAGAGCTCTCCTCACAGTCCCCTCATATGATGGTGGACAGACATTGACTTCTGTCCAGTCTTTCACTGGTAGAGCAGTGCCCAGGGACAGAGGGTTTTGGAGGAGAAAGTGGTTCTCAGACTTTAAGAGCTGCTGCTGCACCTTAGCGCTTCTCTTCCGCAGCTCAAAGACTTCCTGTTCCAGCTCTTCGATGAAGCCTTCAGCCTGTTCCTCTGTCTTTCTCTGCTTCTCTTTGATTGTGTCCATGAGCTCGGCCTGGCTTCTCTCAACAGACTCCTTCAGAGCGGTGAAGACCTGAACACCATCTGCTGTCTCTCTGTCTGCATCTTCTTTACTGAGCTCCACTGAGTGTTTGATCTCCTCAATCTTCAGTTGTCTACTCTGGATCATCTGCTGAATTTCCACCTCTTGTTCTTTCAGACGACTAACTATCTTGTAGTCTACAACCAGCACTAGTATTAAACACATCAGAAACACCAAGCAGAAGATCAGAGCCTTCAGTGCGGGTCCTAAATTGATGTGAAGAGGAGCTTCTCCTTCTTGTTTTAACTGGGCAGCCATCTCAGAGATGAAACTTTTGACTTGAAGTGTGGACTAAAAAACAAGACAATTACAACATTCTTGATTAGTCATAAAGACATCATGTGATGTTAACTGGAACATCAGGAAGCCACTTTGAATCATTTATTTTGCCATTCCATTTAAAAGCATGACATAAAAACAATAAAACATCCTGTCTGAGTCGAGCTTAAGTTTTTTGTTGATGTTGGTTAAAACACAATAAATATTTTCGACTGTACTCACCGGTGTTTGCAGAGATTCAGCTGTGTTCTTATGAAAAGCCTTATTAAGTCAACTTTTCTTTCAGAGAAGCAGAGAATCTTGTCTCAGTGTTGCTCTGCCTCCTTCTGCTCTGTGAGGTTTTGTTGCTTTTCAGGTTTAACCTGATGAGTGACGTTCTTTTGCACAAGGTGAATCTAGTCTGGAGCAACACATTGAGTACTTTTAATGGCACAGTGTGGTTACTTGAATCTTTTTTTTAAACTTATTTCTATTGTCATTATACTGGAGAGGCTTTAACAGTCAAACAACAAAACAAGAGGTCAATTTAACACATGCACGTACTGCATCTGTTGATCGGTGGGCTAAAATACTCCTTGTCATATCTCTCTTCAAACCCACAACAATCTCAAAATTAATTCACTGTTAAACTTTATTTACCTTTTCACATCACATGTAACCCATTACTCTTTGGAGCCCTTGTTGCTTTCATGTTTTTGTTATTGACTTAAAAACTGACCCAGATTTCATACAGAAGACTGAAATG